CATCATGTGGGATATTTCATTGTGGTACAAGAACTCTCTAGTTTTGGTGCCTGGGCTTACAAGTTCCTCCACTGCATGTGGGATTTTAGTTCCACAATCAGGGATTGAACCTGCATCCCTGTCATTGCAAGGCAGATTCTTAACCACCGGACCACCAGGGAAGTCCCCAAGATAACCTTTTTTAAAAAAAAATTGTTTAAATTCTTCACACTCCAAAAAACTTTATTATCTGAACACTTGTCTCTGAAAAAAAAAAAAGTCAAATGTGCAAATATGAAGAAGCTACTCATCAAGTGCTCCTGTTCCTTTAATAGATCCAAGTTATCTATGTATGAAAAAAACAGGCCCCTGTGGCTGGAGAGGCAGGGGAAATGGCCCAGATAAATCCCTTCCTGCCAATACAAATATGAAGCTTTGCTCAACTGTAGGTCAGACAAGTGGGGTGGGGGTCTTTGCCTGAGGACCATCCCGGGGCCCAGGGAGCTTTGGGGCCTGGAGCCCCATCCAACTTTCAGGTGAGTCACTCATCTCTTAGGGTCACCAGTCAGTTCTGTTAATGATCTGAGATCTGTTTCTCAACTTCTTTCACAATGCTGGGGGCCCACGGCCAGCACCCCTCATGAGGGACTGAGGGAACGGGAGGCAGGGAACAGAGATCAGGGCCACCTGGGCTTGGTATGTCCTTTGAATTTATTAGGAAATGACTTTCTAGGCTCAGCAAGGAAATTTGAACTCTTGGAAAATGGGAGACCTTTGCCTCTACAAATCAAATTCCTGTGATCAGCAGCCTATGGCTTCCCTGGCTCCGTCCTTAACTCTGATGTTGTCCTTCCCAGGTTGGGGGGGCCCTTTCCCCCTACGTCTCTGGTGTCAACCCTGGGCGGCCCACTGGCTATCCTGTAGCAGCCTAGGCTGTCAGGGTCATACAGACCCCAGGCTTCATAAAGGCTTCAGCTAGTGAGTCCCTGGACTGTGGCAGGGTTTGCTGAGACAAAGCCAAAGGAAACAGTCCAAGGCAGGCAACACCTCAAAATTTGGGTAGGACCATACAAAACTGTCAACAATCCGCTGGTTTTGACCTTCAAAAAACAGCACTGTTATGTCCGAAATAGTCCCAGAACCAAATCTGTGGTGCCATCCAGTGGTCAGAGCAAGAAAATGGTGCTTGTTTCTTTAAACATGAGGGTGGTGATACAAAATAACATTTCTGGAGCTTTCATTATATCCTGGGGATTAGAGCTCTAAACAAGTAATTACTTAATGCTATTGCAGTTTATGGTAACAATTACTGATTTTTATATACTGCGGACGTCTCTTCTGAGGTAGGCATGTAGGTATTACTACCCCCAAAGGTAAGAAACATTGAGGCTTAGGGGATTTAAGCAAGGAATGTAGGATCACACAGCTGAGGAAGGCAGACCTAGGTCATACTCCTCACATCCAGTGGTTTCCCTTCCTGCTTTAGGGAGAAGATGAGGCTTCCACGCTGGAGATCAGAACTCTCGGAGGTCCCAGCAGAGGCTGAAACGAGGTGAACACACTCGATGTCTGAGCACTTACTGTCATACAGGAGCAGATGTTAGTAGAAACATTAAGGTAGGCCATTAAATCAATAGTTTTTTAAAAATTATATTAAAAATTTATTAAAATTATTTTAAAAAACTGTACACTTTTTAAAAAACTGATCAAGTAATTGTTGGATTAGTGAAGTTCAGTCTGGAAAATTCTGTCCATAAATTATTAAGGATTTGTGTAACTTGTATTAAGTGTCTTAATTCAAATCTTTCTTTGGGGTAAAAGTGTCCTGTGAATCAAATGGCAAGGTCCAAATACCATGATGATAATGTTACGGCTGCTTCCTCCCATCCTTGGCCTGGGAGGCCAAGAGGGAAAGCTGCTTTGTTAGGCAGGCCAAGGAAATGGTAAAGCAGGCAGGACACCCCACCATCACCAAGGCTCCTGAGCTGGCTGGGCATAATGAGTTGGAAGGGCACTGCGATATCCAGGCCGTGGGACATTGGTCAGGGCCTTCCTGGTGGAAGAGGGCCAGGGTTATTTCAGGTGAGTTACTTCCAAGACATTAGAGCTTTGTGGCTTTCTAGAGGTGGCAGTGTCATTCTACAGCTGGAGGAGCTGGAGCACAAAGGAATCGGCCTGCTCAGGATCACACATCTATCTAGTTGTTGGCAGAGCCAGGTCATTACCCAGGTGCTGACTCCACAGCCCAGCTCCTTCCAGCCCCTGGATCAGAAGGGAACCACTGTTGTCATAACTGACCTGTGATTTGTGATCTGGGAAAACCACAGAGGACGTGAGCCAGGACTTCAGCTGTTCCTGAGCCTGCACCACCTGAGAACTTTGCCCCATTCCCAGTGGGCCCAGGGCAGAGAGAGGAGGAACTGAAGTCATTTCCAGCACAGGCTCTGCACTGTCTTCCAGTTTCCTATGGAGTCTAGTCCTAATTTCAGATGTTGACAAGGAGGAGGAAGTAAAATGAGGAGGGGGGACAGAGGAAGAGCAAGGGGACTAGAGGACCAGAAGAAGAGGGCTCTGACCAGAGGTGAGAAGGCCTCAGGATTACTAGGCTATGTCTTCAGGCTTAGAAAAGGCTTACATACAAGGCTGCTGTTTTTCATGTAAGCATTGTATATCCACCTGAACATTTTTAGCTGTATGCATCTATTACTTTGATTAACAATGTAGACTAAAGCAGGAAAGACTTCCATTAGACAGGAAACTGAAGAGTGTCAGAGCACTGCCCTGGCAACTAGAGAGATTAAGATACCCAGGGAGCCAGGGGGCCCAGGGGAAGGGCAAACAGCACCTTCCATCTAGGCCAGAGTGAAGAAAATGAGCCCTTGTCTATACTGTATTCAGTACTTAAAAATCTGGATTTTACTATAAGCAAATAATATCTCAATAAAGTAGGCAGGGTTTTTTGTTGTTGTTTTTCTAATGTGACGGCTGCTGCGAAGCCTGAAAGGGAATACAGGTGAAAGGATTCTGCTCAAGACCTTCCAAAAAACCTTTGACTGGGCACAGAGGGTGTGAGGCTCTCCAGGCCTGGACAGCCTCTCGGGAGGCTTCATGCAACACTCTCCCGCTAGAGGGCAGTAATCCCCAGCCACCGCGCTCCGTCCTCAGCCCCGGGCGTGGGCAGGGACGCAGAGGGACCCCGGAGGACACAAGGTCCCCAGTGGCGCACTGAGCTCAGTCCTGGAGCCCATGAGTTGGGGTCGCTCACCCCGCGGAGAGACCGAGAGCGGCAGGCCCGGCGGGTCTCACCTTGGGGGAAGGGAGCCTGAGCTCCATGGCACACAGTGACCTCCTCTGGCCCTGGCTGTCGGGCAGCCCTGTCCCCCACCTGCGGAATGCAGAGGACGGAAGCGGCACCCGCCCCTGGCCTGTTTTCAGGGTGCAGGACGCCGCAGCAGTGGCTGCCGAGAAGAAGCTGCGTCTGCGTGAAACCCACCCTGCGTCTCCTGCGCCGCTGCCCAACCAGGCTGGCGGAGCCTCGCCACCGCGCCTGTCCTCCCAGACCCGCTCCACCAGCAGAGCAGGTCTTCTGAGCAGTAGCAAGCCCCACCCACAGATAACTCAGAGATCGCTCTTTGGAATGACAAAGAAGCATGGCCTAGAACTGTTCTGCTTAATTGTCCCTCATGCTAAATAGGCGGATCGCCTGGCGTCGCCAAGGAGGGGGCTGCTAGGGGCATAAACTGAAAAGCGCAGCGGGAAGAGACCAGCCACTGCCCATGTGCTGTGACCCAAGGGCCACCGGGGACCCGGCCCTGGGGCGACCCCGCCCCTGGGTGTGCGGGGGCTCCAGCCCTCTCCACCACACCTCTGCCCCGCCTGGCTCACTGCCGTGTTTGCCCAATTCCCCGGACCAGACCGAGCGGCTGCCGCGCTGAGGACTCGCCGCCGGCTCCAGCCTGTTAATCCGGGCTGCTCCCGACCCACCCCTACCCGTGGGGCTCTCGCGGGCCTGGCCGGAGGTCGCCAGCTGGGCAGGTGCAGCCGGGAGCAGCGCGCGCTCGGTGAGTCGCCCGAGCGGCTCTGGAAGAGTTGATGGGGATCAAGGGGGAAAGAGGGAAGGTCACGGAGGAAGGTGATTCTTTCCATTCCTATCTTTGCTGGCTGCCCAGCGACCAGCAGAAGCTAAGGACTAGGGAGGCAGGCTAGAGAGCTACAGCCTCCACGGTTTTAGGGGCAAATTTCCCCAAACTGGGATTCACTGGCTCTGAGCACTGACCTGCCCCAGCCTAGAGACAGGAAGCTCGCAGTGAGGTTTTCTCAGGAAGGGGAAGGGAGGCCGGGGATATCCTCCACTATGGAGCACTAGCTCTGAACCCAGGTAGAGGCCTAGAGTTAAATCCTTTCCTACTACTCTGGGCTGGGCAGTTCTGTAACTTTACTGAGCCTCACTTTCCCCATCTATAAAATGGGAATATAATGCTACCTCCCAGGGTCCCTGTGAAGATGAAATCAAAAGGTGCTGTAAAACGCTGCACAGATAGGTCTGCATTTGCCAGAGAAGATTCACTGTTTTTGGTCTCATGGGGTGCACTTTGGGCCAGGACTATCCTCTCCAGGATGAGGTCAGGGTGAGGGGATGGCCTCCCTGACCAGGAATCACATGGGAACACAGACAAGAGCTCTGCTCCAGGAGACCCTGTGGCACTCTGGTTACTGGCTGTTCAGGCCTTTGCGTGGGCCGCACAATAGACAAGGACAGTTTTCCTTAAGGAGGACATCCTTCACCAGACCTTCTTCTCAGACACCTTCTCTTCAAAAAACTGAGAACCCCTGTTGAAATTATGAACACCTGAAAACTCCCTGCTACTGAGCCAAGTTCTCATTTTGCAGGTGGGAACTGCAAGGTCAGGGATGGTTATATGTATGAGTTGGTAGAACTACCTTCCTCTTACGTGGTAGAACTACTCTCTCTTATGTGTGTTTAATGCTGCGTGCTGCCTTCTCTGTTAAGCAAAGGATAAATGTGGGGCTGTCTGGGCAGCCAGAGAAGAAGGCACCAGGGTCAGACTGGCATGCTCCCAGGACTGCGCTCTGCAGGGTTTACTGGGGCCCCCTGGGTCCGGGTGAGGATGAAATGCAGCACCAAACAGGAAAATGGACTCAGGAAAGCCACCCTCACTCTCTGCACCTGGGATGGACCCTGGAGTTTGGAACAAGACCTTGCTCTAGAGGGACATGGTCCTGGCCAGTTTCGAGCCAGAGCAGACTATTGTTTGCCTGTTGAGCAGGGGCCCCCTTCTTCAACACTTCCTTCCACGAAGTCTTTAAAATCTGCTCCTAATACTGGATCCGGATCCGGATCCGGAGAGGGCTGAACCTTCAGCTTGCTGCCCTTTCCTGTAAACAACAATCTGGCAGTTTTGTCAGGAAGAAGTTTAAGTTGGAAGGTAACATGCGATGGCTGCCATTCTGGGCCATGCTCCTCCACAGCTGCGCCCCAGAGCAAGAGGCTGCGCATACAGAAAGGTAAGGCACCGAGATCCAGCCCCAGGTCTCTGGACTCAGCGCGAAGGACGAGTCTTTCTGCCCGACCGTCCCTTCGTCTAGCCTCCCAGTGTTGCTCTCTGCCCCAGCCACCTTCCCACTCACCCCTGCCCACCCCGCGACCGGCGCAGTGGTTTCTGCTGCTTTGTACCCCGCCACTAAAATGGTCTCTCCCTGCTGCCTGCACTCAGACGTCCCCTCCGCGCACACGCGCGCTGGCTACCCCTGACCGTGGATATCAGCACCCGCTCCCCTGCTCTGCAGTCGAATCTCCGCGGCCCTGGGTGCTAACCCTTTATTCCAAAGCCTCTTGTTCCCTGTCCTCGCAGAGACACGGGCGGGCTGTGGGATTTGCAGGATTTGGACCCCCGCTGGGCAGCTCAGGGCGCTTACTAGCGTAAATAAACAAGCTTGCATACTGATTGGGTTTAGGTAGTTAGTTGCCACGCCCCATGCTGTTGGCTCCGCCCCCTGATGCTGTTGCCCTCCTGTTGTGGTCTCAGCCCCGGGAGCCAGCCGCTGGATGAACATTGATTGTCTCCTAAAGAATTCCCACATTTGTTAAGTTCAATGCCCTGCGATGTTGCCATTCGCTCCAGGGATCTCCGACTCTATCCTTGACCCTAGCCCCGCAGTGGTCCCATCCAGGTGCACTAAAGGGGCTGAGATGAATCCGAATGGATCCCAGATCTGGGGGACCTCAGACAGGACAGAGAAGCGATGAGACGGCACAGTGCAAGGCCTGGCCCAGGATGCTGCAGAAATGGGCTAGGGAGAGCTTCTCGAGGGTCCAGACAGTTTGTTTAACCCATCTTCACGACAGCCCTGAGGTAGGGTTATACTCATTTTACAGATAAATAATAATACATTGGAGTTGAGAGATTAAGTGCTCTTTCACCATGACAGAGCAAGAATTTGACACTAGGTCGGCTCAATGCCAAAGCTTGTCTTAACCTCCATGTTTTAAGGGGATCTTGAAAAGGAAGCAATGCGAGCAAAGAATAGAGGAGGAGACCACAGAAAAACGTCGTGTTTCTGGAACACCGAGCTCTGTACACGAAGAGGTGAGAGTGGAGGCTGGAGAGGTTGCTGGGGACCTTAGAGAGCCTTGGAAATCATAATCAAGAATGTGGACTTGGTCCTGAGGGTGGTGAGGGCCTGACCCCCGCCCCCCACCCCTTTCAGAGGTTTTATACAGGAGAATAACCCGTGCTCTCTGGCTGCAGTTAGGAGGGTGGGTGCAGGTAGGGGAGGAAAAGCAGAGAAGTGAGTGTGGTCTATTTTAGAACATCTTGCTTCTCAATATTTTATTATGCACACATAGAAAATGATTTGTTTTTAAGGTGGAAGATGACCCTTGGGTCTCTAAAATAGTTCCCTCTCTGCTGCAGGAAACACGGGTGGAGGGGCGGTAGGGCAAGTCATGGGGAAATGATATGTTCCTTTTGGCTGCCCTGTGTTTGAGGGAAGTGCAGAAGTCTAACAGAAAGTGGATTCGGTTTCTGGAGTCAAACAGACTGGGTCCAACTCCTACTTGCATCAACCTACTCAGTTAATTGCCTTGAGTAAAATAACTTAATCTCTCTAAACCTATTCTTTCATCTATAAGATAGGGATAAGAATAGAATTTTAGGGTTGTGATGAGAGTAAAATGAGATAACGTACTGTGCCTGGAGCATGAAAGTCGCTCAGTCTGACTCTTTGTGACCCCATGGAATAGTCCATGTAATTCTCTAAGTCAGAATACTGGAGTGGGTAGCCGTTCCCCTCTTCAGAGGATCTTCCCAACTCAGAGATCAAAGCCAGGTTTCCCACATTGCAGGTGGATTCTTTACCAGCTGAACCACCAGGGAAGCCCAAGAATACTGGAGTGGGTAGCCTATCCCTTCTCCAGTGGATCTTCCCAACTCAGGAATCAAACCAGGGTCTCCTGCATTGCAGGCAGATTCTTTACTAGCTGAGCTACCAGGGAAGTCCCTGTCTGGAGCATAAGTATCTTAAAATGGCAATTCTATTGTTATTTTTATTTATTATTATCAGTAAATCTGAAGCTCAGGAAAAATAATTTCTGAAGTCATCAAAAGGAGATGGAAATCATGAAAATAAATGAGATGTCCCAAAGAGTGTGGATGATGAGGAAGTACTGAGTGGACAGTTGTGGACAGAGGAAGAGGCGCCCAAGAAGAAATGGTCAGAGGAAAAGAAGGAAAGCCATCAATCAGAGCCTGGTATCATAGAAGCCACATTCATGGCGTAGCTACACAGCCAATCCTCTGTCTCACTTACTTCCTTCTAACAGAACTTGATGTTGTCAGGGTAAAAGCCCTCTTCTCTGGATGTCTGTGTGCCTTAAAGGAAGCAGCCAAGTGCCCCAACTTCAAACCAGGAAATGGGTCCTCACTGGAAATCCCATTTCCCTTGCCACTGATTGGTTTAGGAAGGTGTATCTCTTACCCTTCTGGCCAATGGGACTTAATGAAAAGTCAGGTGGGGGACATCTAGAAACAATTCCCTTGATTTAAGGAGATGTACATGCAAATCAAAACCATAATAAATACAGTTCACATCCACTAGGATGACTAGAATTAAAAAGTCAGATAGCAACAAATGTTGGTCATGATACAGGAAATTCAGAGTCCATACTGCTGGTGGGAAGCCACTTGCAAAGCAACCTGGCTGTCCATCAAATGACTAAACACAAAATTACCACAGCAGTTCCACTCCTAGGTATATGCCAAGGGAAATGAAAACGTGTTTCCACACAGAACCTCCTAAGCAAGTGCTTATAGTAGCATTATTCATGATATCTAGAAGGTTCAACTCAAATATTCATCAACAGATGAATGGATACACAAATGTGGTATATCCACATAATAGAATAGCACTTAGCCATAAAAAAGGAAATCAGTACTGATACCTGCTACAACATGGATGAACCTTGGAAACATTCTAAATGAGAGAAGTCAGCCACCAAAGACCACATACTATATGACTCCATTCATATGAAAGTCCAGAACAGGAAATCTATAGAGACAAAAAATAGATTAGTGGTTGCTTAGGGCTGGGGTAGTAAGCAGGGGAATGGGATATGAGGTTTCTTCTGGGAGGTAAATATTCTGAAGATGATAATGATTACACATATCTGTGAATATACTAAAATCACTGAACTGTATACATTAAATGAATTGTATGCATGTTAGTTGTATGTCAATAAAACTATTTTAAAAGAAGCAACAACAAAAAAAGACATACATAAAAACACAGACTCTTCTCCACATTGTCTTGTTTAGATGGGATGGCTGGAAGGGTACCAGCCATCTTGCTGCCTGCGTGAGGATGATGTCTACACAAGAAAGGCAGAATCACAAAGATCACCAAGAAGCCCAAAGGAACCTTGGCAGCAGCAAACCCTGCTCATCTTGTTATGTGATGTGATGAATTGTTTACACCATTTTGAGTCAGTTTTTGTTGATATTCTCCAGCAATCGTGTACTTTAATCCCCAAGGAGTTTCATATAGGAAAATAGTTGCTTATGAAAACTTCAGAGGTGCTGGATGGTCAGGCTCAAGCTGACCCTCCAGGAATGTCTCCTAGAAGCTGCAAAACTGACCCATTGTTGGAGCTACTATTTTGTCCCCCTCTGTCAGGAGGGTGGGACACAGGAAGCCACCCCGGCAACGATTAAGTTCAAGGACACAGTGCAAACACAACATTGTAAGTCAACTATACCCCAATAAATTTTTTTTTAAAGAAACACAATGTATTACTTGTGACTTTGGAACCAGCAATGTGGTTGTGACCTCATAACCCAAAGATCTTTGCTCCCTATCAGCACCTGCGAAGCTGGCGAATGAAACTGGAATACTGATTGAGAAAACTTACCCACCTCCTTGATCTTACCACCAGAAGCAAGCAAGGCAGCAGGAGGATAGCCTTCACTTGACTTCCACCTTCTGGATATCTCCCATCTAAGGACCAACTCCTACTTCCATCTCAGATCTCTCCTCTGAAGTCATTTTCCTTCGGCCTGATAAATATTTGTGTATACATCTACATGTGTATATATATATGTATATCTCCTTTCAAATGTTCTAGGATCTGCTTGTGAAGGTCTTTCAATTCTGGTTTACCTGAAAATACCTTTGTTTTGTCCTCATTCTTGAATTTTTTTCCCTAGACAAAGAAGATAGACTGGTAGTTATTTTCTCCTCTTTCTTCTTTTATCTATTTGCTTTAGTTCTTGGGGGAAGGAAGGCAACATACATCTGGACAATTTGACTGTTCCCTTTCCCCACAGGGTGGACCAGATTGTGAGGTGGAGCCTAGGGACCAGAAGGTCTTCCAACACAGACACAGCAGATGAAATCACAATGATGGGACATGTGGTCAAGGGGGAAAAGCAGGTGAGTGTGGGATGGAGTTTCACTGGTGTGGCAGAGCTGGTCATTGGCCAAGAAGCTCTGGGTGGTCTCAGGATAAGAACAGGGGAGGGTGCATGTCTCAGAGCCACAGCCCAGGAGAATACGTACCTGGCCCTGGGAAGGCACAATCTGTGCCCACACGGCCCCTGCCTGACCGACCTGTGGCTATTTTCTTTCAGCATATAAATATTCTCTTTCACGAAGGCCTACTGCCTACAGCCACTTCTGATACCAAGTGGCCAGAGTTCAGTATGGGGAATAGAAGCCAATAGAAAGAGAATCTAAATAGGCAGTTAGGTACTAAAAGTTAGTAGGTGCACTCGAAGAATAGGCTGTAGTTTGGGCTGCCAGGAAAGACTCTGAACACCCAGAAATAACTCTCTGGAGGAGGCACCATTTGTGTGACAGACAAGTATAAAGGCCACCTCAGAACTCAGCTGAACTTACTTGTTAGAATGCTGCCATAACTGCCGTTACACCCAAAGTTGGACTGGACACTGGAGAGCTGAAGCTGCTGCAGGAAAACCCCATGTCTGCATAATCTTTTTGTGAGGAGAAAGCATGAAAACTACAGAAACATGGGCTGTTTCACTTCTGCTTTCTTCATTTTTTTTAAAATTGGAGGATAATTGCTTTACAACATTGTGTTGGTTTCTGCTGTCCAACAAAGTGAATCAGCTACAGGTATACATATATCCCCTCCCTCTTTTTTCCTTTGGCTCCACTGTGTGGTTTGCGGAACTTCCCTGACAGGTAGAAACTGCGCCCCTTGCAGTAGAAGTGCAAAGTCTTAACCATCAGACCACTAGGGAAGTCTGACATCTACTTTCTAAATTCTTAAAACCTAACTTGCAAAACCCAACTTCAAGGGAACCTACAAAATGTAGCTTTGGGTTTCCCAGCCTTTCATGATGTCAGAGGATCCTCTAGAAGGAGATAGGAATCCCTGTTGTCAAATGGCAGGCGATGTAGGGGCCTGCAATGCCATCTAATTGGGATAATTGGATTTGACAATTAGAAAAATCAGGTGGCTCTTGAGAGGACTGTGTCAGGACAGCGGTGGTGAGACAGCCAGACTCTGGTGAAGGAAAGTTAACACGATATGAGCACTGAATTCAGCAAACGTGGATGGTTTGAAGTTTCCTGTGAAGGGAAGAGGAGATGGAGGAAGTAGATAGAGGGCACATCCAGTTTCAGGGAGAGTTTTAGTTGCTTGTTTCTGTAAGAATGGTAGAGAATCAAACACATTTATGGATGGAAAGGAAGGTGCCAACTGAAGAGAGCAGAGGGAGCAAATAGATGCATGATGGTTGGAGAGCTTGCAGCTGGTAGAAGGGGATGCTCTTGATGTATGGAAAGATGCTTGGATATTTTGCAAAGGGACAAAAGCATGCGTAATATAAAGCAAACATTGTAGGATTCTTTCCTGTTTTAAAAGTATATTAGGTACTTTGAAAACACTCACTTAATTGTTAGATAACCCTCATAGAGACCAAAATCAGTTTTGGCAAGGCTGCACCATGGAGATGGAGCAGCCCCAGCCAATGGCATCAGCTTGGGCAGAATAAGAGTGGGCAAGGGTGGGGTGGAGGACAGCAGACTTCTGCAGGCCGCGTGGCCACAGGCTGGCTTGCTCCGTAGGCCTCATGCTCGAGTTGTGATCCCAGCTCACCTTCCCTCCCATGTGCTGAGAAGCAGTCAGCCAGCAGTTGTTCTTGAACCAGCCTCAGAGGCCTAGACATAGCCTCTCCCCATTGCATCCAGCCTCAACTGTCATGGAGCCATCCAGGCTCCCCATAGTCATCTGGGGCCACATCCTAAAGAGCACTGACATGGTTGCTGTCCAGTCCTCTTGTGTGGGCTTCCCTGGCGGCTCAGACAGTAAAGCGTCTGCCTACAATGCGGGAGACCCAGGTTTGATCCCTGGGTGGGGAAGATTCCCTGGAGAAGGAAATGTCAACCCACCCCAGTACTCTTGCCTAGAAAATCCCATGGAGGGAAGAACCTGGTAGCTACAGTCCATGGGGTCACAAAGAGTTGGACACAACTGAGTGACTTCACTTTCACTTTCCTCTCGTGTTTCCTGTTCCCCTACCCCAAATCATGATCACAAAGATTCACTGACCAAGGCTGACATGTAAGTACATGACTTCCTTGAAAATAACTTGAGATGGCTTTAACTTAGCTTTACTCAAACCTGTCTTATCCCTCAACATGGCTATTTCTTTTCTTTTTTTTTTAATTGAAGTCTATTGACATACAGTAGTGTGTTAGTTTCAGGGATACAGTAAATTGCATCACATAAATATATTTTTTATTTCAGATTATTGTCCATTATAGGTCATTACAAGATATTGAATATAGTTCCCTGTGTTATATACTTAATCCTCTTTGCTCATCTATTTTATGCTTATAAGTTTATATATGTTAATCCCAGATTCCTAATTTATCCCTCTCCCTTTCCTCTTTGGTAATTGTAAGTTTGTCTTCCATGTCTGTGAATCTGTTTTGTATATAGATTCATTTGTATTATTTTTTGGATTCCACATATAAGTGATATCATATAATATCTGAATCTGCTCAGAATGATGTTCTCTAGGTCCATTAATGTTGCTGCAAATGGCAGTATTTCATTTTTTATGGCTAATATTCCATTGTTTATTTATACCACATCTTTATCCATTCATCTGTTGATGGACACTTAGGTTGCTTACATGTCTTGACTATTATAAATAGTACCGCTACAAACATTGAAGTGCATGTGTCTTTTTTTAGTTAGAGTTTTCATCTCTTCTGGATAAATGCCCTGGAATGGGATTGCTGGATCATTGGTAGCTGTATTTTTCATTTTTTAAGGCACCTCCATATTGTTCTCCATAGTGGCTGCACTAATTTACATCCCCACAAACAGTGTAAGAGGGTTCCCTCTTCTCCACATCCTCACCATCATTCATCATTTGTAGACTTTTGGTGATGGCCATTCTGACTGCTGCGACATGGTACTTCATTGTGGTTTTGTGGTTTAATAATTAGCAATGTTGAGTATTTTCTCATATGCCTGTTGGCAATCTGTATGTCTTCTTTGGAGAAATGTCTATTTAGGTCTTCTGCCCATTTTTTAGATCAGTTGTTTGTTCTTTTGATATTGAGTTGTATGAGCTGTTTGTATATACTGGATACTAACACCTTGTTGGTCACGTCATTTACAAAGTTTTCTCCCACTTTAGGTTGGCTTTTCCTAGTTTCCTTTGCTGTATGGAAAGCTTGTAAAGTTTGGTTAGAGACTAAGTTAAGAAAACATTGATACAATTTATGTCAGAGAATGTTTTGCCTATGTTCTCTTCTAGGAGTTTATGATGTCATGTCTTATATTTAAGTCTTTAAGCTATTTTGAGTTTATTTTTGTGTCTAGTATGAGGTTGTGTTCTAACTTCATTGATTTGAATGAAGCTGTCCCAACTTTCCCAACACCACTTGCTTAAGAGACTATCTTTTCTCCATTGTATATTCTTACGTCCTTTGTCAATGATTAATTGACCATAGGTGTTGGGCTTATTTCTAGTCTCTCTATTTTGTTCCATTGATCTATATATCTGTTTTTTTTGTGCCGATACCAGTCTGTTTTGATTATGCAGCTTTGTAGCATTATCTGAAGTCTTGGAGGATTATGCCTTCAGCTTTGTTCTTTCTCCTCAGGATTGCTGTGGCGATTCTGGGTCTACTGCAGTTCCATATACATTTGAGGATTATTTACTCTGATTTTGTGAAAAATGTCATTGTGATAGGGATCACCTTTAATCTGTGGATTGTTTTCTGTAGTATGGAACATGGTTATTTCTTGTGCTAACCTAATATATATGCATGCATATATATACATAGATACATATCTATACACACACACACATATATATGCTGTGTTGTACTACTGAAGCCACTTCAGTCGTGTCTGACTCTTGCAACACCACGGACTGTAGCCTGTCAGGCTCCTCTGTCCATGGGGTTCTCCAGGCAAGAATACTGGAGTGGGTTGCCATGCCCTCCTCCAGGGGATCTTCCTGACCCAGGGATCGAACCCTTGTTTTTTATATCTCCTGTATTGGTAGGC